CGGGCTGGCCGTGTCGATGGCAGGGCGCACGGCTCACGTCCGTGGGCTGGCCGTGTCGATGGCAGGGCGCACGGCTCACGTCCGCGGGCTGGCCGTGTCGATGGCAGGGCGCACGGCTCACGTCCGTGGGCTGGCCGTGTCGATGGCAGCGTAGGCTAGCTGGCCCAGTGGAATCAATCCACATGCGCAGCCTGAGGAGCCTTCGAGCTGCACGAGGAGGTGTAGTCAGTCTAGAACAACCGTGGGCCTCTCTGATAAGCTACCCAGTCCTCGTGGACAGGAGGGTTTGTGAGAGGGCGGCGTTCCACGGCGTCTCCAGATGCCAGTCAGGAAGCCGGGATGCCTCTGTAGACCCTGACTTCTTTCATATTTAGTTTCGGTAGTCTTGTTAGGAAGCCATTTGTGTGACGTAGGCCAGGTGAGCAGCTCCTGCCCGGCTGTGACCTGAGGATCGTTTGAAGCCAGCTTAAACAGAAAAGTCTGTGAGGCTATTTCCAGTTAACCCTCAAAAGGCCAGAACTGGGGTTTGGCCCAAGTGATAGAGAACCAGCCTTGAGCATAAAGCTGAGTGAGAACAAGAGGCCCAGAGTTCAAGCCCAGGTACTGTGCGCACACACGCGGGCGCACACGCATGCTCACAAGCACACACAGCAACAACTTAAAGATACTCACAAAGCCATCCCAAACTTTCTTAGATTCATTCTCCTGGGTCTTCTACGGTTAATTTGCTTTCATGTAATTCAAAAGCAGCTTTAGAAACTGGCCGTTAGAAATCTTTCCACTTAGCCAGTCACACTGATTGATGGGTGGGTTGTGTCCTGGGGACCTGGGGGCCCTGCCCAGCGACCCCGCTGGCCTTCATTTGTCAGAGAAGTTGTTCTGTCCTTACATTCCGGTCCACCTCTGGCTAACAGCCAGCCGGCGTGCTCAGAGTTGGTGCACGCAGGGTTGGCATGGGGGTTGGCATCGGCATGGTTGGCAGGCAGTGTCGGCACGCCCAGGGCCGGTGTGCACGCAGGTTGGCACACAGCGGGACAGAGCCCGGTGTCGGCGAGCCGTGCAGGCCAGTGGGTGGCCAGCCTGGCAGCGGCAATGCGTGGCTCCCCCGCTCCTGGTGGGAAGTCGTGGTTTTCCACGTGCAGTGCTGAGGCCAGGTCATCGGGTCTGTATAAGTGGGGTCTCGGCGTGTGCAGCTCTATAGCTACAGAATCGGATCAGCTGAGAACGGGGTTATTTCCCAGCCCTGGGGCCGCCTGGCCCCCACAGTGGTTCTCTGGGGCCCCGGGGGTCCATGGAGCTGCCAGCCCAGTAGACCCCCCGGGGCCTCTGACTCCTCGGCGTGGATCTTGTCTTTCAGAACCCAGTCATCAGCCAGTTCTTCCCAACTCTCCTCCTCTGGGCCTTCTCTGCCCTCCTCCCGTCCATTGTCTACTACTCCACGCTGCTGGAGTGCCACTGGACCAAGTGAGTGCCGCCCGGCCAGGCCCAAGCCAGGGCAGCGGGCACACAGCAGGCCCACAGGGCACACAGCGGGCCCACGGGGCACAGGGCGGGCACAGAGCGGGCACAGGGTGGGCACACGGCGGGCACACAGCGAGCACACAGCGGGCACACAGGGCCCACAGCGGGCCCACGGGGCACAGGGCGGGCACAGGGTGGGCACAGGGCAGGCACAGGGTGGGCACACGGCGGGCACACAGCGGGCACACAGCGGGCCCACAGGGCCCACAGCGGGCCCACGGGGCACAGGGCAGGCACAGGGCGGGCACAGGGTGGGCACAGGGCAGGCACAGGGCGGGCACAGGGCGGGCACAGGGCGGGCACAGGGCAGGCACAGGGTGGGCCCACGGGGCACAGGGCAGGCACAGGGCAGGCACAGGGCAGGCACAGGGCGGGCCCACGGGGCACAGGGCAGGCACACGGCGGGCACACAGCGGGCACACAGTGGGCACACAGCGGGCCCACGGGGCACAGGGCGGGCACAGGGCGGGCCCACGGGGCACAGGGCGGGCACAGGGTGGGCACAGGGTGGGCACAGGGCAGGCACACGGCGGGCACACAGCGGGCACACAGCGGGCCCACGGGGCACAGGGCGGGCACAGGGTGGGCCCACGGGGCACAGGGCGGGCACAGGGTGGGCACAGGGCAGGCACAGGGTGGGCACAGGGTGGGCACAGGGTGGGCCCATGGGCACAGGGCGGGCCCACGGGGCACAGGGCGGGCACAGGGTGGGCACAGGGCGGGCCCACGGGGCACAGGGCGGGCACAGGGTGGGCACACAGCGGGCACATGGGGCACAGGGCGGGCACAGGGCGGGCACAGGGTGGGCCCACGGGGCACAGGGCAGGCACAGGGTGGGCACAGGGTGGGCACACAGCGGGTCCACGGGGCACAGGACGGGCACATGGGGCACACAGCGGGCCCACGGGGCACAGGGCAGGCACAGTGTGGGCATACAGCGGGCCCACGGGGCACAGGACGGGCACATGGGGCACACAGCGGGCCCATGGGGCACAGGGCAGGCACAGTGTGGGCACACAGTGGGCACACAGTGGGCTCACAGCAGGCACACAGTGGGCTCACAGCAGGCACACAGTGGACACACAGTGGGCCCACAGCATGCGCATGGGGCACACAGTGGGTCCACTGGGCACAGCAGGCCCCCAGTTGCTGGGACACTGGGAGCACATACAGGCTCTGGGGGTACCGGGTGTACTCACAGACCCAAGTGCTCACCTCTGACTCCTGCAGGTCAGGAGAAAACCGGATCATGATGACAAAGGTCTACATATTCCTGATCTTCATGGTGCTGATCCTGCCCTCTCTGGGCCTCACCAGGTATTGCCAGCCCTGCCCACAGGCCATGAAGAGCCGGAGCGCAGCTGGAGGGCATGGTGGCCTCCAGCAGAACAGAAGGGGCCCCAGGACACTTGCACATTCTCACCCTTTGTACCACTCAGCCTGCACATTCTGGAAATGGGATCTTCCTCAAAAAGAGAGAGAAAAAGATGGAAGCAGTGTGTGGCTCACACCTGTAACCCCAGCCACTCAGGAGGCAGGGATTGGGAGGATCACAGTTCAAGGGCAGCCAGGCAAAGAGATTTTTGAGACACCATCTCAACCAGCAGGTCTGGTGTGGGGTGCACGCCTGTGATTCCAGCTGTGAGGCACAGGTAGAGGATCAGTCTCACGGAGGCCACTGGCAAAACCCAGGGCCTTGTACAGCCTCTCACACTAAAGCCCAGGGAGGGGGCATGGCACAGGTGGTTCCTGCCCGCGGTCCTCGCAGGAGGGGTCGGGTCTTAGCAGTGTTCCAAGGAGTAGACAGCAAGGGCCAGCCTCAGGCTCTGGAGTGGAGTGGAGCTGGGCGGTCCCACGGAGGGCGGGGCCGGGATGGGCTTGGGGTGGAAGCTAGAACGCTGGCCCAGCTTGGGTGAGGTGGGTGAGGCCCTGGGTCTGATCCCCGGAAGGGGGCGGGGAGGAGGGGAGGGAAGGGGGAGGGAGG